AATGAAAATACAAGAAGCCTACAGAACACCAAATAGACGGAACAAAAAAAAAAAAGGTCTCCTTGTCACATAATAATCAAAACACCAAACATACAGAAAAAAAGAAAATATTAAGAGCAGCAAAGGAAAAAAGATCAAGTAACCTATAAAGACAAACATATCAGAACCACAGATGACTTTTCCATGGAAACTCTGAAAGCCAGGTCCTGGATAGATATTCTACCTATACCAAGAGAAATTAAGTAACATCCAATTGCACAATTCATGGGTCCAGGAAGAAATAAAAAAAAGAAATTAAAGATTTCCTAGTATTCAATGAGAATGTGGACACAACATATCCAAACCTATGGGAAATTTTCAAAGCAGTACTAAGAGGAAACTTCATAGTGCTAAATGCCCACATGAAGAAACACGAGAATAATCACACTAGAGAATTAACAGCACAACTGAAAGCTTTAGAAAACAAAGAAGCCAATACACCCCAGGAGAGCAGATGCCATGAAATAATCAAATTGAGGACTGAAATCAATAAAATGGCAACTAGGAGAACAATCCAAAAATCAATATAACAAAATGTTGGTTCTTCCAGAAAAATCAACAAGATAGACAAACCTTTATCCAAACTTACCAAACAACAAAGAGTGATCATGCAAGTTAATAAAATCAGGAATGAAAAGAGGTACATAACAACAGACACATAGGAAATCCAGAGAATCATCAGGTCATACTTCGAAAACATATATTCCTGAAAATTTGAAAATCTAAAGGAAATAGACAATTTTCTGAACAGATTTCACTTAACAGAATTAAATCAAGAACAGATAAGCAATTTAACTAGACCTATAACCCCTAATGAAATTGAAGGAGCCATCAGAAGTTTCCCAACCAAAAAAAGCCCAGGGCCAGATGGCTTCAGTGCAGAATTCTACCAGAAATTCAAAGTACAGGTAATATCAATTCTCCTCAAAGCATTCCACAAAATAGAAGCATAAGGGTCATTACCAAACTGTTTTTATGAGTCTTCAATAACCTTGATACCCAAGCCACACAAAGACACAACTAAGAAAGAGAACTACAGACCAATATCCCTCATGAACATTGATGCAAAAATTCTCAATAAAATACTGGCAAATCGAATACAGGAACACATCAGAGAAATTATCCACCATGATCAAGTAGGCTTCATCCCAGGGATGCAAGGACGATTCAGCATATGGAAATCCATCAAAGTAATCCACCATATAAACAGACTGAGGTAAAAAAAAAATGATCATTTCACTAGATGACAAAAAAGCCTTTGACAATATCCAACACCCCTTCATAATAAAGTTCTTGGAGAAATCTGGGATAACACAAACACCGGCTCTGATTGATCCTGTGGGAAAACACAAACAGACCCTCTCGCCCATGATAGCACAGGGTCAGGACCCTTCCACAGTCCAGTAATGACATCCTTCCATTTTACCAATCCCTTAGTACAGGGAAGGGCACCATGATGGTGATCAGCAGCCGAACGCCCATCCACATCCAGTTGAAAAAAAATTAAGTCAATAAAGCTAAAGATATTCTTTCCTTGGGGGTGCAGCATTTTTGTTTTATTTTTGTTTTATTAGGCATTCCTTCAAGGTTCGATGAGCTGGTTCAATGATACCTTGACCTTGAGGATTATGAGGAAGTCCATGCTTCAAATCTATATGTATTTGTTTGCAAAAGGCAGAAAAGGATACATCGGTATACGCTGGTCCGTTATCTGTTTTCAGTTGTTGTGGCATGCCCCATGCAGCCCAAGCTTCCAAGCAGTGGGCAATTACATTCTTTGTTCTTCCCCACTTAAGGGGGTAGCATGTATTACTCCAGAACAGGTATCCATAGATATATGCACATATTTATTGTCCCAAATTCAGGAATATGAGTAACATCCATTTGCCATAACTTAAATGGAGTCAATCCTCTAGGATTTACTCCACGAGCTGGAGGTTGTAGGAAAGTAACACAATCCTTACAAGCCTTAACTATATCATGAGCAGCAGCATCGGATATACCAAAGCAGCATTTCAAAGTTTTAGAATTAACATGGAATTGTGAATGAAATTGTTGAGCTCTATCCAATGGAAGGGAGGCGAATGCAA